ATTCTGTGATTTCTGTCGTCGTTCTCTCGAGATCGATCGTGAGCATTAACAGGTTGAAACATTTTACAGGGATAGTTTGGTAAACGTACGATAATTGTGAAATTTTTGGTTGGTATCAGAGATTACTAAAGGAAACCACAGAAAAATAACGCGGATCTGTCAGAGAGTGCTTGTCATTTGGCTGTTCGTGAGAAGGCATGTGGAACTAAACCCAGAATAATTAATAAAAAAGACTAGATTTTTTCTGGAATATAAAAACCCTACAACTATTCCACTAACTGGTCAGTTCACAGAATATTTATTTCAGATATAACTGGAAGTATATAGGAATATTTAAAAAATATTCTGCCAGGTCTCGACGTGGGTAGGTATCTAAGGCACCCGCCATTAAATAAGACAAATCGAGCATCATGTCAACTGAACAGAAGGAATCCTTGGATTCGGTTGGTGCCCTTGGTGCGCAGTAATTACTTGGTATAGTAGAATCGGATCACAAAGCCCTGTTTCTGATGACTTCTGAGGAATTGGGCAAGAAATTAAGCTCACATGGAATGACACCCCAGCCGCCATGAAGACCATGCTGGGGATCAGTGCCACTGAAGCCGTAAGCCACCTCAAGTACAGGTGCAGTAGGTGCGAACTCATCAGGCCCATCGGGCCTACTGCGAACAATTTTCCCAGTTTTTGAAGAAGCTAATCGCTTCAATCTGCCTGAACTGCGCTTCACCTATTGGAACAAAAAGGCGTGCATGATTCTTGTCAGTGCTACACCGAGTGCAGCCTTGACTCCTGTGGCAAGCCCCTAGGCTCTTCATGCATGGCTCTTCTATTCATGCGTTTTTGCACTTGTCCTGCAGGTTCTAAACCTTGCTGATTTGCAGGGTCAAGATGCTCCATTGGAAAGTCTGCAAAAGGCGTATGGGCCGCCAAATTAAACTATTAGACACGTGTTGTGAAATGTTGCGAAGGGTGTTGAATGCAGGACGTACCCTTAGACGCGTTGCAATGTCACTGTTGATGAGGATCATGGTGCAGTGTAGCCGGGGTCGATGCTCCACCCCCCGCTCTGCAGGCGCCAATTGATCCTGCCGTACTGACGCGCAATGAAATGTCGCGATCCAATGATCCAGGCAGGATTTGCAAACGTTTTGAGCGAAGGCGATTGGTTTCAGTGTTTCCCCTTCTTGCTGCCCATCGATTCACTACCTATCTCACAACATGAAAGAAGTTTCTGAGCCAAGTCCAACCACCAACAACCACCAACAACCACCATCAACCAACATCAACCACCCCTCAACCAACCTCAACCAACCAACCAACCGACCGACCGACCCACCAACCAACCAACCAACCGACCCACCAACCAACCAACCAACCGACCAACCAAAACCAACCACAACCAACCAACCAACTCAGCCAACCAGTCATTCACTCTTTGTCCCAGTCCCATTACATCAGCCGGCTGTTGCATCCCCCAGCAAAGTACATATGAACTTTAGCTGATTCTCAATAAAAGCAAATCTAATTAATAGGACCGTTTGAACAATCAACATACCCGACCTAGAATGCAGCGCCAAACTATCGAACCATAATACATCATACGAACAACTGCGATAACCGCGTGGCTTCGCTTGTGTCCTCCAATTGTTTGCTGTTCACAGTGTTTCGCTGGAGTTTGTGAGATTGTTCACCCGTTGGAACAATCACTTGACTTGGCTGTATGCACCACAAGGGGTACAAGATGTAGTTATGAAGAATCAAGCCTTCAAGAGTTGTTAAGTTACAGCTAATAACATGTTGTTTCTTGTAGTTTGTGATTTGGCAGTATTGCGAGCTTGTTCTGGCCACGGGAGAGACAGCTTGTCAGGCTGCATGCTTTGCATTGCCCTTCACCTTTTTGGCTGAGGTGGTCCACCAAGAGGTGACGGAGCCAGACGAAAAGAAAGCAATGCGAAGCACGAGGCAGTGACTTGGCAAGCCATGGCAGCCATGGCTCTAAAGTGCTTTAACAACAGGGCGGGCTGATCAGCTAGCAAGTCGGAGTCTGACTATTCAACTAATGAACAAAGTGCAACATCACGTCCTGGCGATTGAATTGGACAAACGGAAGTACATGAGCACCGTCGCAAACACAAACAACGAAGGGCCATGAAAGATCATGAACATATATGAAGGATTATGTTCAAAGCACTTGTGTAGAAAGTTTTAGACACGGACTTACAAGAGATTGTTTTTTCGAGTCTTCGACCGACTTGAGGAAGCTACTGCTCCCTTGTCAGCACGCTCTGGACGCTCAGAGGGTGCAGTGAGCACCCAGAGCTTTCGCTCTGTGGCCTCAACCACAGTGCAGCGCTACTCTGATCAGCTTTCAGGACGCCTTAGGCCTTAAGGAGTCTTAGGAGTGTTGTGACGCCCAACGCCATTTTGCTCCCTTCTGAGACTTGTTGAAGCAGCCCAACTGCAAGCCGTGCTAGGACCAAAGAAGTCCTCAGCTGAAATGAAGAAGCTTGTTAAGGAGTTTGTTCGAGAAATGGTGAAAGGCGCCGCACTTCGTTGAGCATGTGAAGTCAAGAAGTCAATGGTGAAAGGCAGCTCAAGACCTTTCTTGCTTTGGTCGACCTTTCTTCAGTTGGCCTTCGGGCTGCGGTTCTTTCCTTGGTGTCTTTCTTCTTCGGTTTTAGATCCAGGTTGGTTTTTAGATGCTTTTAGGCAAAGAGACCTTTGATTCTTTCACTCTCACGTAGGTAGCTAATTGATTATTTGAGCGGACCTCTTCCAAATTACTACATTGTTGCATATGTTTACTCAGTCACTTGGACGTTCTTGACTCATTGACCTGCAGGAAAAGAAATGAATGTTTTGCGAGCTGATGGCAGCCATATGTCCGTGAAATGTGGACTGACCAGGCAGGATTCTCACCACTCTTAGAGGTTCAAGTAGCTTGGTCAAGTAGCCCTATTCCGAGTCAGTCGACAAGACCGGCAAGTCCAAATATAGCCAATGCTGGTCCAAAACATTTTTCAAACCTTGGTTTGAGCTGGCTCCTTCTCAGCATCCTTGCCCTTCTTTTGATATTTATGTCCCCAAAAGCAAGCAACCTATTCATGCCAAAGCTTCTGAACAAACATGGTCCTTTGTTCGCCCCCCGCCCCCCGCTTGAAACCCGGGTCAAAATGTCAAGACGGCATTATGTGTGCATCCTGTTTTGAAATTGACTGGACAAGACTAGCACCATGGTTTAATGATTCCTTCCCAACTGTCAAGACCGTGTGAAAGACTAGAGGTTGGGGTCTGCCCTATTACCTGTACAGTCATTAACACTCAGTAAACAATTATCACAATGTTTGAACAGCGCATGATCATCAATCATCATCATCATCATCATCATCATCATCATCATCATCATCATCAT